CCTACAAGCCAGCTCCTAGTCGTCTTCATACCAGTAGGCTCGCTACACCCTCACTCTCTGCAGAAAGTGCTCTACTTGGCTTCCAGCCAACATGCCTGGGCACCTTCAAGATTCTCTCTCTGCCTTCTCCGACTCTTCAGGCTTCAGCTCTTCTCTGTTTTGATTACATGTTTGCATGGAGAGCCTCGGATACTGAGTGTCCTACTCTACTGCGCTCCTCCTATTGCCTTAGCACAGGCTCTCTTACTGAACCTCAACTCAAGCCGACCACCTACCAGCCCCAGGGATCCTCCTGCCTCTGTCCCCTCAGTGCCATGCCAAGATTTTTCTGTGTTGATGTCTTTAAAATCATAATTATTAGTATGTGTATGACTGAGTGAGGACGGGATTACATACCACAGCACACATGTGGAGGTCAGAGGAGAGCTGTGGAGCTGTTTGATCTCACATTACCAGGCTTGAGGAGCATGCTCATCTTTCTCACTGCGCCGTCCTGCTAGCCCCACAGCTAGTCTTTCTTTCTGTGAGTGCTATGGCTGCTCATGCTTGCCCTCTCACTCACTGAGCACCTCCCCAACCCATGCCATTCTTTCTACATGGTCTTGCTCATTTGGTGGCCTTGGTTCCCATCTCTCCCACTGACCACGGATGTTTCTCTACAGACTCCTCTAAATCTATGTAAAAATTCTCCCCATTTCAGCGAATGGCAATCCAATGTCTCAGTGATTAGGCCAACACCTTTATAATCATCCTATTTCCCTTTCTCCCATATTCATATTCAAATTACCAGGAAATCCTGTTAGGGTGACCCACCAGACAATGGAATGTGGTGACATAAACCGTTCACTGGTTCCGCTTGCCAAATATAGATAGAGCCCATGTGGCTCTGCTTGCTGTCTACCTACCGCTGTCTCTTCCCACCGCCAAGCCACCAGCCTTCCAGCAGTTCCCACCTCAGACCCCCCCACATTCACTGTTTCTCCCATGGGAAGCCTCCTGGCTCCTAGGGGGACAGTCTTTATACCAATGCCTTCTCAGTGAGCCTAGCAATGTCGACCTGATGGCATTCCCAGCCCTCTCCCCTCACACAGACAAAACAATTTAGTGATGTAACTGTTTACACTGAGTCTGCCATCTGATATGAACTGCTCTTGGTATTTTGTTCTCTCACATTTCCCTAGAACTAAGAATGTCCCCGTCACATAAACTATGAATGAATGAATGAAGATTCCTGAATCTCCTTGTAAATTTGGTCTATTTGATACAGTCATATATTAATGTTAAGTAAAGTCAACATTTACTCTACTTATGTTGTTTACTTACAGGCACAGGCTAAACATCAGTTCCTGCACAAAGCTGACCTATAACAGTCCAACATGAATGCCATGGCTACATCTATTAGGTCAGAATTTATGAACGCTTAGGGAGCGAGGCAATGCAGAAGAGCTCTTGCTAAGTCAATGAGGTGGGTTCTTCTGCAGTTCTAACCGTTTCTCTGTGCTTAGAGGTAAAATTGGCAATTATGATAGTAAACTGAGAGAACGGTAGAACGGTACTACCTGCTTTCTCAGCCCCTACAGGCATCGGTCACACACACCAACCTAATGCTCGGAGACAAACACACAAAACAAACCCAAAAGCAAACAGCCCTGACCCGCGCAGTTCATCAAGAGGTTAAAACATCATTTTCAGGAGAAAGTCCAACAAGAAACACACTGTCCCATGCTCCACGTTACCAGGCTTCTGTGGTGGCACCCCAACTTACCGGACAATGCACCTCGGTCTTCAGTATCACTGTCACTATCCACAATGTCATTGTGCTTTTCAATGTCAGCCAAGGACTGGCCGTAATGAGTCAATTCTTCATCTTCATTTAGGTTGTAGATGTTCTTTTTCTCATGATATCGCTTGACAAAGAGGGTTAAAGTCAGTTACTTAAAAGTATTATGTTTACTTCCTAGAAAATTAGTTATTTTCCATTATAGGTGAAATATGAGAGCACAAGATAATCCGTCTGAAAAATTATTCTGGATCATTTGAAAGATGACTGGAATACACACACAACTTGTAGAGAAAATTCTTTTTTTGTTTGTTTGTTTTGCTTTGTTTTTCGGGACAGGGTTTCTCTGTGTATCCCTGGCTGTCCTGGAACTCACTCTGTAGACCAGGCTGGCCTCGAACTCAGAAATCCGCCTGCCACTGCCTCCCAAGTGCTGGGATTAAAGGCGTGTGCCACCACTGCCCAGCTGTAGAGAAAATTCTTACATAAGTCATCTACGCTAAGCTAAGCTCCTGCTCAGTCCTCCCCATTGGCAATGGTTCTCCACTCACTTGTTCTCCATCCAACAAAGCTGAAGGCAGGACCTTAAACAACCCAGTGCCAGTCACTACTTACTATTTGCTCTCATAAAGGTATTTATCTACTAGTAACTAGCATGTCTTGAAAGTACCTTCCCCTCTGTCTACCCAGATGAGACACACCACTTGAGACATATCCCCTGTACATGGCAGGCGAACAACTCAGAGGCATACATGAACAAGGAGAAGCACCCTTTTCCTTGGCTTGCCTTGTGTAAAGTTTATAGCAAAGACTTCCCTGCCATTTTTTCCATACCTGTTGTTCCAGAGCAAATCTCTTCATCATCCTCTCCTCTGGACTTATGTTGCTATTGTACTCCCCAAAGCGTTTGTCTGTGAACACATTGGACTTGTTCCTTTCCTTGTACTCCTTTAGTAAAGTCTGTGTTCTCTGGAAAACACACACATCAATGATTCTCACACAAAAGCTCTATAGTCTTCACTGAAGAGGCCACCAGAAGGGGCTGTATGTAAAGCTGAGAAGAACAGTTTGCCACCTTATTTAATGCTCATAACCAGTACAAATGGCAGAGTATAGTACATGAAACTCAAGGCTTACCTAGAAATGGCAGATGTGGCTCTTTTAGATGCCACATTATTCTATCTCCAAATGTCCCCTCTGCCATCCTTGGCCTAAAGTGTATACTGGTGAAATATTAGTCAGTCATTTGCACTTTCTATAATGCAAACACTGGACCACATACAGAACAGTGTCAGCTCCTTGCAGTATGGATATTTTACACAATTCAAAAGATATTTCCTTCAATTTAAAGATCTCATGTAAACTGGATCCTTTGTAACAAAGTACAGATTAGTAGCTGTGAAGGACAAAAACCAAGTCTTACTTATCTCCTTTGCAAATATTACCAATAAGTCTAACCTATTAATTTTCTCAAAGTAACCATGAATTGCCTTTTGCTTACTCATTTATTTTATTTCTTTATTGAGATTCAACTGGAAGTTTTGAGTCTCACTATGTAGCCCTTAAACTCAGAGATCCACCTGTCTCCGCTTCCCCGGAGATTAAAACCATGCAACACAAACTTCTTTTTAAAAGCCAAATGAACATCAGCAGTTACATATAGAATGCCATTTGTTGAACTGAATTTGAAAGGAAGGTACAGTATACTCTTGAGATGGGGCCATAAGAACAAGAAGGAAGGAAGCTATGAGGTTATCCCCAAAAGGTACTATTCCAGTGACTTCCCAAGGGACAAGCTCATGAAATTCAGAGAAAGGACATTTTTCAAACATTCCAAGAGCATGCTCTATGAATCCTATCCATGGATCGAATGCTGGCATGGCCAAAGCATACAGAGCAGAAGTAATTAACGTCAGCTCAGACGTGATTAACTCTGCCTAAGCCTTAGGCCCTAAAGGATCTAAGAGAAGTCAAGAAGAATGTATACCTGGAAGATCCCAAGGAGAAAGAGTTCCCAGAGGAAGGGTATTCGATATCAAGCAAAGGAGAGGTAGTGTTATGCCTCAGTCCTGATCTTTTTTTGCTGGCTAGTTTAAGACAAATTTGACACAGAGTATAGTCATCAGAAAGAAGGGAATTTCAATTGGAAAAGATACCTCTACAAGATCGGGCTGCAAGCAAGCCTAAAGAGCATTTTCCTAATTAGTGATTGACAGGGGAGGGCCCAGATATTGTGGATGGGGCCACCCATGTGCTGGCGGTTCTAGGTTCTTTAAGAAAGCAGGCTAAGCAAACCATGGAGAGCAAGCCTTAGTAAACCGCACCCCTCCATGACTTCCGCATTAGCTCCTGTCTCCAGGTTCCTGCCTTGTTTGAGCTTCTGCCTTTAATTTCCTTAATGGTGGGAATATAGAAGTGTAAGCCAAATAAATCTTTTTCTCCCCAAACTTCTTTGGCTAGCCATTGGGCATAGTACGCAGATCCTGGTAGTGCCTGCCCCCTTACCTTCCTAATGGCCCGAGCGCGGGACACCCCGGGCAGGCCCACATCGTGGCGCGTCTTCCTGCCAAGGATCTGGAACTTCTGCCGGTTGACTTTCACTTCAAATGGGTTTGGGTTAGTCTTCGCCGGGCCTCCGAACGCCCCTGCGGGCGCTCTGTGGACCTGCCTCCGCGCTCCAGTCCGCTTCGCCTTCCCCATGACATTCACTCTGCCACACTTTAAAAGACAGTGCCTACAGTTCAAGAAACTCGTGCATAGGATGCAGATGCAAAACCACGCCCAGCTTCGTCTCGCAATGAATGCGTCAGCTTCCTGTACTTCGCGAGAAGTACACAAGTCCTGGATGACACTAAACAGGCGCTCCAGTTTACTGGATTAAAGACTACAACTCCCAGGAGGCCACACTTCCTCGACTTCCTGTCGCTGGGCCTTATGGGATTTGTAGTGTCCCGAGAGCTGCCACAGTCACCTCAGACACCGCCCCGAGGGGAGCTCTCGGGCTCCCTCTAGAGGAAAACCGTTAGCCGGGGCCCTGCTGCCTTGTGAGTTAACTGGCGGCTGCGGCGGCGGCGGCTGCTGTAGCCGTCGCCGCCGGAGACGGCTCTCGAGTTTGTAAGCTCTTCGGTGTGGGAGGGCGCGCCGAAATTTGAGTGCCGCCCAAGACCCGGGGCTGAGGAGAGAGGTACGCGCCCTGGGCCTGGGAGATGATGCTAGGAGGAGCTCGAGCTATCGCGCGCCGGCGCCGATAGCCGAGGCCCCTCGCCGGGACAGCAACAGAGCTGGAGCCCGTAGCGAGCCATCCCCTGTCCTATCTTCGCGGCGGCTGCGGCGACGACGGCGACGGCGACGACGGCTTTCCTGGTGGCAGTGGTGGCAACGCCAGAGGAGGCGGAAGAAGAAGCGACAGAAGCGGTCGCTGTTGCGGAGGGCCAGCATCAAGAAGTCGCGTTCCCCAAAGGACAAGGGATGCCCGGAGGCTGCAGCTGTGCCTTTAGGATCTCTCCGGAAGCCTTCCCTGTCTCCATTGCCTGGACCCGGAAAAGTTCACCATCCGAAACCGCGGCACCGACGGCGCAGGGGAGGGATCATGGAACTCGAGAATTTCATGGCCAACAATTTGTTGCTGAAGGCTCGTCAAGGTGGGTGCATCTCAGGCTCCTGGTCTCCCTGAAGGTAGCTCCTCCTAGGAGCTCCAGTTTTTGAGAGAATCCTGATCTCCCTGAGACCTTTACATCGTCGTCTGATAAGGGAGGTTTTTTTTTTTAATAATTTATTTATTTGTTCTCAAATCGTAATTCATTCACACAGGGGTTATAAACACAGAAAGGCAGGATGTGGGGAAGGGGATGAGGGAGTTTTGATTCTATTGGAACCAATTCTGGGTTGGAGCTGCTGCTTGGCGGGTGTCAGCAAGTGATCCTGGGCTAACTTTTGTTGTGTTTTGAAACAGTAGCGCTAGCCTAACTTGCACTAGGGGCTGATTGAGTTCATCCCACTCTCAGCGCTGCTAATCTGAAAGACGGGGTATGGAAAGGTATGCATTGCACACTTTCTAGCATTTCTTGATTACCCAGGCAAAGATGCCTGGGAAGTAGATGCTATTAAGAAGCTTCAATGTGTTCACCTTACAGAATGTGAAGTATATTCTTTGAGAAAAACTAATGAGTAACAGAGAAATGGTTTTGATCTTTATTTTTGTTTGTTCCTTTTAAAAATTGTTTTTAGCTCCATTACAAGTCCATTTATGTCCCAAGTGATTTTCAAGAAGAATCTTGGAATTGAAAAATATAACTATTTTCAATATTGGAAACCCTAACAAGAAACATTGTAAGAAAAATTTTAAATTATAGTGAGTGGTGTCCAGAATTAGAAACCAAACTAAGGGCTTTGAAACCCTTATGAGCAAAGAACAGTGAGAGGAGACTTGAAGCAGGAAGCTCCTGAGTACAGTGGCAATCTAGGCTCTGTAGACTGTGCAAACTATGGAGTAGTGAAGACTAGAGGTATAATCAAAGAAACAAATGCAAAAAGGACATCACTGTCAATATTTTTGAATTAATACTATTATTCAAAATAATACTATTTTGAATAGAAAAACTAAGAGTGAGTGGGAAGAGAACAGGTCTTGGTTTTCTCTTAAGGCAGTTAGGAAAGACTCAGAAGTATATACTCTTCTCTTTCAGTAGAACATTTGACTGTTCATCTTGTCTTTCACTCCAAATTCCAACTGGTCCTTGAAGGAGATTCTTAATAGAAATAAAATTTGATCAATTTTAGGTTTTTCTTCCCTTTTCTATCTTCATATCTGGGTACAGTGTCTGAGAATAGGGAATATTACATTAGTTTTTACTATAATGTTGTAGAGATTAAATAATGGTGTAGATATTTTTAAAACCCACAAGAACCTGGGTTCAATCATGAGAATTCATACAAAAAGTTAGACCATGGTGCTTATAATCCTAGCCTTGCCCAGCCATGGGAAGCACGTGTGTGGGTGTGTGCAGACACACACACGCACGCACGCACGCACGCACGCACGCACGCACGCACGCACGCACGCGCACGAAAGTCAAAGAACAAATTCCAGGGCTTGGTTCTCAACCCTTCACTGACTGAACCTAGCTTAGGTGGCAGGACTAGAAATTAAAAACAACAAACTAGAAGCTGGGTGTATCAGAGGTAGAACATTTGACTAACCTGTGTAAGGCTACCCAGGTTAAATCCCCAGAAACGGGGATGGGAGAGAGCAAGCAAAGCCTACCACCTAAACTTGTTCCCTCACTTGCTCAAGAAATACATCAGGGAATTTTCCAGAGATGTGGGAGAACCATGCCCTAAAAGAGGAGGCAAGGAATTCTGAGCCCTATCCAGGGGGCTGCATCTAGCTAGATGAATAAGCCTATTTAAATTCCACAGTAGCAATCTTTCTTGAAGCCAGAGGCCTGACATCTCAGAAAAGGTCACCTGTCTGTCAACACCAAAACAAGCAGTGGACTGACACTCAGTGACAACTTTGTTCCCCTTGGACATACCTATGAAGATCAGACCAATGCTATCTATGCTGGACGGTGGATCTAGTCTGTGTAGTGGGGCCTTTTGACATTGACATTAGGGATATGGCTGCTGCTGAAGCAGTGCCATGCATAGTCTCTGGTACTGGCAAGTGCTTATTAAATGTTTATTTAATTTTTTATTTTTTAAGGCTGAATTTGTGAGGGGAAGTAATGAATGTTTTTAACATGTTAACATAAGGTGCTCTGGGCAGTGGGCTGTTGATTCAGAGCTTCTAGTCCCAAGATTTGCAATAGAGTATGTGAGGAGCACAAGATGACTGAACGAGCTCTCGGGCCTATACCTGCTTCATCAGTTGGAGCAGAGCTACTTTTGATATATCTCACAGTTTTTCAAACCACTGCATTGCAGACAGAGCTCCCCAGAGCCCAAGGAAATATAGACTTCTTCCTCCCAGTTTTCTGAGTCTTAGTTGACAGTTAAAGCTGTGTTACACTGTTGGATGACAGTAAAGTTTTGTCTCTCAATGGTTGAGATTAAAGATTTAATTTCTCTGATTTAAGGAAAGTTTTAGTTTTAACAGACCCTTTAAAAACAGGTTAGCTCTTTTCTCCATTCTGGTTTCATTGTGAGTGCCTTTGTCTTACTTAGGGTTCCTGTTGCCGTGATGAAACACAATGACCAAAGCAACTTGGGGCGAAAATGTTTATTTCAGCTTACACTTCCAGGCAGTCCATCACTGGGAGAAGTCAGTGCAGAAACTCAAACAGGGCAGAACCTGGACGTAAGATCTGATGCAGAGCCATGGAGGAATGCTAGAGAACGGTTCCTTGTGGCTTGCTCAGTCTGCTTTCCTTTTATGGGGGGAGATGAGGGGGGTTCGAGGTAGGGTTCTTTTTTTTAATTTTTTTATTGGATGTTTTATTTACATTTTATATGTTGTCCCCTTACCCCATCCCCCACCCACTCAGGAACCCACTATCCGCTCACCCCTCCTCCTTCTTCTCTGTGGATGTAACCTCTATCTACACCCCCCCACTCCCACCTCCCACCCTCAAAATTCCCACCCCCTGGGGCATCCAGCCTTCATGAGGTCAAGGTTCTCTTCTTCCACCTATGCCCAGCAGGGCCCTCCACTCTTATGTATTCAGCTTGAAGCCCTGGATCCCTCCCTAAGTGCTCCCAGGCTGGTGGTTTAGACCCTGGGAACTCTGGTTGGTTGGTATTGTTGCTCTCCTCATGGTGCCGCAAATCTTTTCAGCTCCTTCAGTCTTCACTCTAACTCCTCCATTGAGAACCCCATGATCAGTTCAATGGCTAGCTGTGAGCATCTGCCTCTGAATATGTCAGACTCTTGAAGACCTCTGAGGAGACATCCATATCAGGCTCTTATCAGCATGCACTTCCTGACTTCCACATCAGCATCTACCTTTGGTGACTGCACATGGGATGGATACTCAGGTGGAATGGTCTTCAGATGGCCCCTCCTTCAGTTTCTGTCCCTCACTTTGTCTCCATATTTGCTCCCTTGAGTATTTTGTTGCTCCTTCTAAGAAGGACCGAATCACCCCCACTTGGTCTTCCTTCTTTATGATCTTCATGTGGCCTGTGAGTTACATCTTGGGCATTTCAAGGTTCTGGGCTAATATCCAATAATCAGTGAGTGAATTCCATGTGTGTTCTTTTGTGATTGGCTTACCTCACTCAGGATGATAATTTCTAGTTCCATCCATTTACCTAGGAACCTCTTGAATTCTTTGTTTTTAATAGCTGAGTAATACTCCATTGTGTAAATATACCACATTTTTTGAATCCATTCCTCAGTTGAAGGACATCTGGGTAAAACCAGATACACTGAAACTAATAGAAGAGAAGGTGGGGAAGAGCCTCGAATACTTGGGCACAGGGGAAAAGTTCCTGAACAGAACACCAATGGCATATGCTCTAAGATCAAGAATTGACAAATGGGACTTCATAAAATTGCAGTTTCTGTAAGGCAAAGGACACTGTCAATAGGACAAAACAACAACCAACAAATTGGGAAAAGATCTTTACCAATCCTTCATCTGATAGAGGGCTAATATCCAATATATACAAAGAACTCAAGAAATTAGACTCCAGAAACCAAATAACCCTATTAAAAAATGGGGTACAGAGCTTAACAAAGAATTTTCAACGGAAGAAACTCGAATGGCCAAGAAGCACCTAAAGAAATGTTCAGTATCCTTAGTCATCAGGGAAATGCAAATCAAAACAACCCTGAGATCCCATCTCACACCAGTCAGAATGGCTAAGATGACTCAGGTGATAGTAGATGCTGGCCAGGGTGTGGAGAAAGAGGAACACTCCTCCATTGTTGGTGGGACTGCAAGATGGTGCAACCACTTTGGAAATCAGTGTGGCGGTTCCTCAGAAAATTGGACATAGCATTACCTGAGGATCCAGCTATACCACTCCTAGGCATATACCCAGAAGATGCTCGAACATATAACAAGGACATATGCTCAACTATGTTCATAGCAGCCTTATTTATAATAGCCAGGAGCTGGAAAGAACCCAGATGTCCTTCAACTGAGGAATGGATTCAAAAAATGGGTTGTTTTTTTTTTTTATGTAGCCCTGACTATTCTGGAATTTTGCTCTGTAGACCAGGCTGGCCTCAAACTCAGAGCTTCGCCTGCCTCTGACTCCTGAGCACGGGGATTAAAGTCTTTCAAGGTCACTGCCTGGCACAAACAGATCATTATTAAGCAACAATTTTTCTTTTCTTGTTCATCCCCAAGATCACACATTAATAAAGATATCACAATATGAAACATTTTACAAGCTCTCTTTGCCCCATCTACTGAGAGAATGAACACCATTCTCAGCAATCAGACTGTCGACATTCCGGAAAATGTCGACATCACTCTGAAGGGGCGCACAGTCATTGTGAAGGGCCCCAGGGGAACTCTGCGGAGGGACTTCAATCACATCAACGTAAAGCTGAGTCTCCTCGGAAAGAAAAAGAAAAGGCTCCGGGTTGACAAATGGTGGGGTAACAGAAAGGAACTGGCCACTGTCAGAACCATCTGCAGAACATGATCAGAACTGTTCAGAACATGATCAAGGGTGTTACACTGGCTTCCGTTACAAGATGAGGTCTGTGTACGCTCACTTCCCCATCAACGTCGTTATTCAGGAGAATGGGTCTTTGGTTGAAATCCGAAATTTCTTGGGTGAAAAATATATCCGCAGGGTTCAGATGAGGACAGGTGTTGCTTGTTCTGTCTCCCAAGCCCAGGAGGATGAATTAATCCTTGAAGGAAATGATATTGAACTTGTTTCAAATTCAGTGGCTCTGATTCAGCAAGCTACAACAGTTAAAAACAAAGATATCAGAAAGTTTTTGGATGGCATCTATGTGTCTGAGAAGGGAACCGTGCAGCAGGCTGACGAGTGAGGCCTCAGATTCCTAGCTCCAGAAACAAGATCCTGATCACAAGTACAATTTGGGCAATAAAGGACTTATATATTGAAAAAAAAAAAAGAAACATTTTACAAACTAAAAATGTCCTACAACCTTTAAAAATTGAAACATTTAAAAAATATTTAGTCTCTTAAAGTTCTAAAGACTTTTAAAATATAATGTCTCTCAGTTGTGGGCTTCTATAAAATAAAGAATAAACTGAATACTTTCTTACTTCAAAAGGGAAGAACCAGGGCATGTCAGAATAAATTGAAGCAAAACCAAATTTTAACTGTGTAAGTAATTCAATATCTAATATGTAGGATCCATTCATGATTTTCTGGGCTCCCCCAAAGGACTTGGGTAAGTTTCTGGTCTTGCCCTCTGCAGCTTGTCTCTGAGGTTCTGACTGGCTCTACTCTGCTGCTGCTGGTGTTCTTGCTGGCCATCCCATCGCATCTCAAAAACTGCTGGGGGCTCTTGCCGAAACTGGGCTGCACTTTTACCAATAGCCTTTCCTCTTCTTGAAGGAGTCCAGCCCTGCCACACTCAGCCTCACCTGCTCTCTGTGACCACTCCATACCTGCAAACCCAGCGCCATCTGGGTGAGCCTTACACTACCACGTTCAGCTCCCACCTCTGGAACACAGCTTGTCTGTGCTGACCCTGAGGAAACACTTCTCATAAGACTTCACCTCAGTGATGCTGTTCTCTTAATTATAGCTGATTTTTTTAGTCCCAGCTGACCAAAATCCATTGTCCCAGCAATGCAAAGGTTTTACTTTAGTGATTCAGGTCTCTTGTTAATTACAGTGATTCTTCAGGTTCAGCTGACCAGCTACCACAGATTCTTCACACAAATGGTCTGCTAGAGTTTAGAAATTTCCCTCTACAACCTCATCAGTCAGGTCTCCATTGTCTGTACTCCTCTCAGCATTCTTATCCTCCAAGCTCCTATAGAGCAGCTCACTGGGCTCTCAACACTCGGTGGCTTTCCTAGCCCAGAGTCCCAACGTTCCTTCCACAATCCTCACCAGACTATCTTGGTATCAACTTCTGTTCTAGTTAGGATTACTATTGCTATGATGAAACACCATGACCAGGGGTGGCCCCTCCTACAATGGGCGAGCCCTCCTCCATCAATTACTAATTAAGAAAATGCCCTACAGGCTTGCCTACAGGTTGACCTTATGGAGACATTTTTTAAAACTGAAGTTCCTTGCTCTCAGATGACTATAGTTTGGGTCAAAAAACTAACCAGCATAGCCCTCTTCCCCAGTCTTCTAGAGGTTCTTACCCCATGTTCTTCAAAGTCTGTCTGCATGTGATCTTCCTTAGAGGGAGGTCTCCTCAGATGCTACCTAGTCACAATAGGATCTTCCACCTTTTCCCTTCAATTTTATTTCATACTGTTAACCATAATATTATCTAATTACTTATATTGTGTGGCTTATAGTATTCTCTCCCTTACTTAGGTTATTGAGGTGTGTGTGCTGGAAAGATGGCTCAGCAGTTAAAAACCTTTGTTTCTCTTGCAAGAGAACCTAGATTTGGTTCCTAACACCCAGTTTCATGGAATTATGGAAGGCTCGTAATCTTCCATAATTCCAGTTACAGAGGATCTGACAAGCTCTTCCTACCTCCGTGGGTTCCAGGTATGTACATGGTGCACATTCATACATGCAGTCAAAAAAATGATACAGATAAAATAAGTCTAAAACATTTAAAAAAGAATATAGAGCATATATTATACATTATATATATGAAATTCCTTAAAAAATATAATACAGCAAAAATAATAAAGGCTTTTTCCTCCTTAAAAAAGAGAATATAGAGGATGGGCTTTATTTTTGTTGTTGGGATGGAACACAGGCTTCCATACATGTATGTACTCTGATCACTGACTTCCACCCCAGACTGTACTTTAAGAATTTAAAAAAACTATTGTGCATATGTCTCCACTTCCTCCTGCTGTGTGAGTGTGTGTGTGTGTGTGTGTGTGTGTGTGTGTTTGTGTGTGTGTGTGTGTGTGTAGTGTCTATAGAGACAAGAAGATATTGGATCTCGTGGAGTTGAAGTTACAGGTGTGAGCTACCAAATGTGTGTGCTGGAAGTAAAGCTCAGGTCCTCTACACGAGAAGTGTGCATCTTTAACTGCTGAACTCTCTCTCTCCCAACTCTTTGTTTTGTTTTGTTATTTAGTTGACCATTGCATTCCCAGTGCTTTGACATGTGGTAGGTGTTTAGTAAATATTTGTTTAAAAGTAAATATAAATGTATTTTAATAATTTTAATAATGATGAACCAGTGTTTGTAAGTAGCAGTGTATAGTGTGTCATGTTGTATCTAGTTTACAAATTTGGAAATGGAGACTATAATTTTATATTTCACTAAGCTGATATCTATTTGAGACAAATTATTATAAAGTTATATTTATCTTATGTACCCAAACTAGTATTAACAATAGGATAATTTTTATTATGAAATATAAATATTATATTGATAATATTTTAGTAAACAAACAATTCCCCCACCCCCTTTTTTTGGCTAGGTGTATTAACATAGCTCTATGACCCTAACATGAAGTTAATGCAGAAGGATCCAGAATTCAAGGCCTATCTTGTCTCAAAAGCAAAACCAAAACACAATTTGAAATCTAAATTCTTATTGTTTCAAAATTTACAGGATTTAGCAAAAAGACTGGTCGTAGTAAGAAATGGAAAGAGCTCCTGAAGTTGCCCCCAGTGAGCATGTGCACTGAGTTAAGATACTCCATCGGTGAGTACATAGTGCTTCCTTATGTCTGGAGGGTGTCTGACATTGCATCATTACATAGATGTTACTACTACTTCAGTTCTATATTTGCTTCAGAAGTTTTCTGATAAAATTTTCATAGAACTTCATTAGTCTTTTAGTGTATAATGGAGACTCTAAAGTTATGAAAGATGATTGCTGACTTTTTCATTAATAAAAAGTAGTATATATTGAGGCTACAGAATTGGCTTAATAGTTAAGAGCACTGGATGCTCTTGCAGAGGACCCAGGTTTGGTTCCCAACATTGACATGGATGCTCACAGCTGTCTGCAGCTCCAGATCCAGACACATTCTTCTGGCTTCCTCAGGTTATGTGCACATGTGCACAGATATATGTGCAGGTAAAGTACCCATCCACCTAAATTAAAAACAAGTTAATCTAAAAAATATGTCTGCATATGGCTTTTTGCCTGTGAGTGCAGTACCTGTTGAGTCCAGAAGAGGGTATTGGATCTCCTGGAGCTGAAGTTACAAGCAGTTGTGAACTATCCACTGGGGTGGAAATTGATTGGCCCTAAGTCCAAGTGCCTAAGCTGATGCAAAGTAGCCATCATGACCACAGCCTAGTCCCATTTCTGTGTTTCTTTTGGTTTGTCTGCTTCACAGCACTTGAAAGCCAGAAATCTAAGGGTTCCCATTCCCAAAGATTTCCTGGCTTCTGAGACTGCTGTTCAAATAACTTAGGAGGAGAAAGGGACAACACTCACTACCCTGCTGGATAGGGCTCAGCCTGTGTTAGTTTACTAAGAGGAAGCATGTGTTGAAGGAAGTGCTGGGGGAACACATGGTGTCCTCCTAGAGGAAATGTGAACTGTGAAATGGTGAAAGTGCTCTGGACTTGCAAATGCCGTCTGCATGAGGAAGTGCCCTCCAGATACTTCAAGAGAATATAGATCAAAGACAAGGCTTTTCATTGTTGACCCCATTGAGGAGGGAAAGTGAAGACTGAGATTTCTTGTTCACTATACAGCAGAGGAATTCTCTTATGGGGCAGAGAAACAACCACAACAGGAACACTCAGCCAGAACTCAGACAGAGCTACAGCTGTCAGAAAAATGGTTCTAAAGATGATTTTGGCCTCTTTGTTAAAACCAACCACAGACAGTGTCAGGAAAATAAGGAGAGTGAAGAGGAAGAGGTAGTGTGAGTCTCAGCAATGAACTTCTTGTTTAGGGAGAGCACCTAGAGTTCCGGTGGGCTTGGACATTTCAGGGCACCTTTCAGTTCTTCTCCTGTAGGTAGGGGCAGAGTTCTTCTTTGAACTGACCTTCTAACCTTGGAGAGTTAAATGGTGACTTGTAAAAATAAATGAATAAATGTGCACAATGCAGTGCTTTACTTAGGTAATTATTTTTAAGGAATGTGTTTATGTAGGCGAGGCTGGCCTTGAATTTGCAGTGTAGACAAGGATGATCTTGAACTTCTGATCTTGCCTTTACCTCTCAAGTGCTAAACTTATGGGCATGCACTGCCGTATATGATGTATATGATGCTAGGGATGAAATCTAAGGGCATTGTGCGTACTGTGTAACTTGAACTTGACTGCCTACTGAACTTGACCCCTAGCTCCTTTGCCTAGATATTTCCATGTTTAAATCCAATGATCTAAAACAGGAATAGCTTAGACTCCCAGAATTACTTGATATTAATAAACTTTACTGGAGAGATTTGTTATGATTTGTTCATTTACCTTAATTCTTCAGTTACTTTTGGGAAACCAGCTAAGTCAGGGCAGGAACTCAGGATAGGAACCTGACGGAAAAACTGAAGTAAAGGTCATGGAGGAAAACTATTTACTGGCTTGCTATGACTCTCTCAGTTTGCTTTTACATATACCCCAGAATCACCTACCCAGAGGTGGGACCTCCCACAATGAGCTGGGCTCACACATATCAATCATTAATCAAGAAAATGGCCTACAGATTTATCTATGGACCAATTTTTATGAGACATTTTTCAATTAAGATTCTTTCTTCCTGGGACTGGAGAAATGGCTCAGTAGTTAAGAACACTGGTTGCTGTTACAGAGACCTTGGATTCAATTCCCAGCACCCACTCAGTGGCTCATAAACTTTAATCTGTATGTCCAGTTTCAGGGGAAGTCTTCTGACTTCCAAACGTTCATAAACATAAAAAAAAACTAAAAGAAAAAGTTTCCTGTTCCTAGGTATGTCTAGGAAGATTTATATTGAGTTGACAAAAAGCAACCAGCATAGCTACTGCTAAGAGAGCAGCTAGCCTTCCTGCTATTCTCCGTCCACCCCTCTTCCCTTCCCTCCATTCCATTCCTGTCCTCTTCTTCCACCCTATTTTTTTGTTTTTAGTTAATGTACAAAGTAATGAGCCAATACAGTAATATCTATCTTTATTCCCAACATTCAGGAGGCAGAGGCAGGTGGATCTCTGTTAGTTTGAAGCCAGCCTGGGCTACATAGGAAGTTACAGGTCAGCGAGGACTACATAGTGAGACTTTGTTTCGTAACAACACAAACAAAACTAAAACAAAGTAATGAGTTTCATTGTTACATTTTATTAGACTTTTTTCTTCCTTCCTTCCTTCCTTCCTTCCTTCCTTCCTTCCTTCCTTCCTTCCTTTCTTTCTTTTTTTTTTTGGTTTTTCGAGGCAGGGTTTCTCTGCGTAGCCCTGGCTGTCCTGGAACTCACTCTGTAGACCAGGCTGGCCTTGAACTCAGAAATCCACCTGCCTCTGCCTCCCAAGTGCTGGGATTAATAGACTTTGTTCTTATTTGCCTTCCTCTGCTGCCAAACGTGGCTTTCTTGCTGAAGTTTGACTTGTTCTAGACCTAATGCTTTTGTTTTATATTTTTCTTGACACAATGCTGGAATATTAGAGCCTTATTCTCAGAACAATATCACTTAGGTAAGGAGAGGCAAAGCATAAGATATTTTCTATGGAAAAGAAAAAACAAGCAAATAACTATAAAAGGATAAGTTAGAAATCATAAATTATAAAAAGAACAAATCAATAATCATAATTATTTTAAATTTTGTTTGCAAGAATAAAAAAAAAGTATCAAGAATCAAGATGGAGAGAGGTTTTTAAAATTCTGATGTAGTACGTTGCTGCATAAGCAGTTTATTCTAGATATCTAGGGTGAGTGCAGTAATAGAAAGTTCCCTTTATACTCCTGCCTTCCTTGTGAATGGTCACCCCTAGGGCTTATCTATCTCCTATATATTTCATTTTGGAGAAGAATACTTTTATTTTGAGTTAAGTTTTACAAATCCTTACAAGTTCTAGGTGTCTTTGGTTTTACATGTTGGTTGGTCAATTGGTTGTTTTTTTGTTTTTTTTTTTTAATTTTGGGAGAGGGTCTCATCATGTAACTGAGGCTGGCTTTGAATGTATCATCCTCCTGCCTCAGCCTCCAGAATGGTAGGATTATAAGCATGTGCCACTCCAATCAGTTCTGCCTGTTTTGTTTTATGTATGTATGTATGTATGTATGTATGTATGTATGTATTCATATTTGTGTATGTATGTGTCTATACATGTTTATATATGTGCATATGGAAGCTAGACAACAATATTAGGTATCTTCCTTAATCAATCTCCACTTTAGTTTTTTGAGACAGAGTCTCTCACTGAGTTTGGCACTTGACAATTCAGATAGACTGTCTGGCCAGTGAACCCCTGGAATCTTTCTGTTTTAACCTCTTCAGCCCTGGGATTACAGGAACACTCCATCATGCCCAGGTTTTTAATGTGGGTGCTGGGCATATAAAATCAGATCCTCATGGTTTCGTAGTAAGCACTTTACCAACTCAGATGTCTCTCCCAGCCCCTGCTCATGTCTTTTAAATATGTGGTAACTCAATTTGATGTAGCAAACAGAACAGTAGTTTAGAAATGATACAAATATTTTTTACTTTCATTTTATTAAGTGAAAACAATGTAGATTCAGAATAGCATTTAGTGGATAATAACTACTATGCTTGTTTCCCCTTTTACCCAGAAAAGGATTTTAGCAGTCTTTGTGACAAACAGCCAATTGGAAGACTTCTTTTCAGACAATTCTGTGATACAAAACCAGATCTAAAGAGGTGCATTGAATTCTTGGATGCAGTGGTGAGTGATTCATCTTAGGAATGTTCTGTGCAATTTTATGCTTTTGATTAAAAACTGGGCCTGACAGAGTTGGTAGTTGTCTTGATGTTATATTTCCCTCCTTCTCTCCTTCTCTCTATTTTTGAGATAGGGTCTCACTTTGTAGCTCACACTAGCCTGGACCTCTCTTTGTAGGTCAGGGCTCTTACAATATAGCCTTGAACTTGTAGCAGTCCTTCTGTCACCAGCTCCTGATTGCTGTGGGTAGGCACAACCTTTCTGGCTCCTGGTGAGTAATTTTTGTATATGAAAAAGCATCAAGAAAAGATTATCGCTTTTCACCTTGAAAAACTTTTTTATTTTAAATGTGAATACCTACATGTTTGTGTGGATATACGCCATATATATGTCTGATGCCCTTGGTGATCAGAAGATGGTTCCTTTGGAATTGGAGTTACAGGTTATTGTTAGCCACCATGTGGGTTCTGGGAACTGAACCTGGGTCCTCAGAAAGAGCAGTAAATGTGCTTAACTGCTGAACCATCTCTTTAGCCCTGCTTTCTCCTTGTTTTTATGCAGCCTGGGATTCCAGCTTGTGGGATGGTATCGTCTACATTTAGGGTAGGTATTTCCTGGTTGGTTTATCCTTTCTAGAAACACCTTCATAGAAACATCTAGAGATGTATTTCCATGGTGGGTCTAAATCCAATCAAATTGACAATGGAGATTAATTCACCTATCATCATTGACATTTTTACCCCAGTATTGTTCTTACATTCTAAGAGAATTATTTAAATTTAATCCATAGAACTGCTCTCTGGTTCTGAGGGTGCCATATGAGTTTAGGCCAGATAATTTAAAGCATTATGAAACACTGTTGTGAGTAGCATCACTAACATTTGTCTTTTCCCTAATCTCTCCAATCAGGCAGAGTATGAAGTGACCATTGAAGAAGAACAAAAAGAATTTGGACTATCCATCTTTAGTAGATTCTTCAAAGAGGTACGGTTTCTTTTCTCCTTCTCTTCATCCTCTTCCTCCTCCTCCTCTTCCTCCTCTTCCTCCTCCTTCTTCTTCTTCTTCTTCTTCTTCTTCTTCTTCTTCTTCTTCTTCTTCTTCTCTTCTCCTCCTCCTCTTCCTCTTCTTCCTCCTCTCCCTCTTCTTCTTCCTCCTTTTTCCTTCTCCTTTTCTTCTTACCTCCTCCTCTTCCCTCTTCCTCCTCTTCCTCCACCCCTCTTCTTCCTCCTCCTTCACTTTTTGGATAAAATATAACATGTATTAAAGCCTTTAATTTTTTATTGGATATTTTATTTATTTATATTTCAGATGTTATCCCCTCTCCCCATCCCCACCCCCATAAACCTCCTATCCCATCCCTCCTCCTCCTTTTCACTTTTACACCATTTTAATTACACGCAAGTATTAAGGTCAGTTCTAGGTTGAGGAACTAGCAATACAATAGTTGTGAATAGTCAAGGAACAAACAAGACAATAAACACAAATAGTCAAAGAACAAACAAGGTGATTAACAAAATTCCTTGATGATGCCCATTTCTAAGGGGTATCAGGAGGACCAAAATATCAGAGCCTACTTCCCTGTGCTAGCCCAAAGTCATTTCCATGCCTAAAGCCTACTTCTTTGTTCTAGCCTAAGATTTAGATTCCTGCCTGAAATTACTTCTTTGTTCTAGCCTAATGTCAGATTAACTGCCTGAAGCCCATTTCCTTGTCTTTGGCCAAGGTCAGACTCCTACCAAGCAGCCCATTTCCTTGTCCTTAGCCAATGCCAGATTCCTGCCAAGCAGCCCCAAAAGCTCTCCACATCTTCCCCTTTTTTATTTCATAAGCAAGACTGATCCTGTCTTAGGTTGTTCTGACAAGAATGCCTTCCTTTCCCATCATGGAATATACATTATCAAAAGCAATGCACTTCTGTCTTAGGTCGGTAAGGTTCTGTCCTTGGCTTGCCAGCCTGTTAAATTAATAACTCTGTCTGGGGGTCCATTTTTAGTTTCAAGTCATATACTTTGGCTGCCAACATGTTGATGTTGTTAAAGACAAGCACACAATGGGCAGGAATAAAAGTATTGCCAAGACAACAAGGGCTAGCATGATCAAGCTATATATGCCATTCTTGACACTTGACCAAAATAGAAACACCAACCTCAGGCCATGAGTAATTTTGTCAGCATTATCTGCAGCATTAAAGCTCAGCAGAACAGTATACTTTAAATTCATAATCTCACTATGCAAAGTTAAAACATCCAGAGAGGTGTTAGAATTATGCCAAATACCCTTCAAGTGTCTTTAAACTTTTTCCTAATTATAATGACTATCATTGTAAATTTTAGAAGTAACACAACTCCATTGGTATTTGGCATGACACTCAAGATGGCCCCTTACTCTTAAACTCTGAACCTCTTTTCCAATAATTTGAATAGGATAAAGAGCATCAATCCAATGTTCCTAATGCCTATCTAAATCCTCTTGTATACTCAACACTTTAGTAACATTTTTTTACTAAATGATTAACAAAAGTAGCTGTCTTCTTGTGTCAAAGCAATTGCAGAAACAGTGGTGATCTCAATTAATGTAATTAAAGCTGTTATATATAACAGCAGTAATCAGGCCCACTACTATCTTGCTTCTGCTTAAAGCCTCACTCACTTCTTCCAGTACTTTCAAGCTTTTTTCAGAAAACCAAGGTCCTGTGATACTCAGGGCAGTAAGGCAAAAGCTGGTTGATAGACCCCCGTAACAGACATGCCAGGTTTCAACACACTAACACAATTAGAAAGTGTACAATCAATGCAACTTACAATAAATACTGTAGAAGAAACAAAAGTAATTTTAACTCGACAAATAAAAGATCCTTAACACTAACACTTGTTTGAAATCCAGATCCTGTCCCAACTTTATCTCTTGCTAACATAACATCATAAAGAACTACAGCTAACTTCCAAATATGTCTCTGAAAATGTCCAGATCCAGCCTTCCAAATGAAGACTGTTATTTCTAATATTGTATTGATTTCTAGACCAGTACATGAGTCCAAATAACTGGTCACATTAAAGAAAACTACAAGAGTCATTATAACTTCTCTTTTTGATTCTCTGTCCCACAAGGTCTAAAAACTTGAGGCAGCTTGTCCCATCTGGGATATAGGAAAGCAAAGATGGGTCAGGAACATATGTCTAATACAGCTCCCCAGTCACCATTGTCAGGGCACTCAGCAAGCACACAGGTCAGCATCGTTCTTTGTCCCAGCATCAGCATGTCTCACCAATCACTCTGGCAGCCACCATGCTCCTTCAGCATCCTGCAGAAAAAAACACAAACACGCTCTCTGCTATCCTAGGTGTTTTAGTGCTCCACAGAGCTAACACTCAAGGTCTGCTCAGGACACTGGTGCAGACTGGAGGGCAAGGCTTTAATTTTTTTTTTATAACTGTTTCCCTTTTTGTGTTTTTGTTTAGATTAAGAAAAAAAAAAAACCTCTTAGAAAATCGATTCAGCCGGGTGGTGGTGGCGCACGCCTTTAATCCCAGCACTTGGGAGGCAGAGGCAGGTGGATTTCTGAGTTCGAGGCCAGCCTGGTCTACAGAGTGAGTTCCAGGACAGCCAGGACTATACAGAGAAACCCTGTCTCAAAAAAAAGAAAGAAAGAAAGAAAGAAAATCGATTCAAGGAATTTAATTTTATTTCCTGAAGCCAGAACATAAGTTCAGAAATTTTATTTGCCTAATTTGAACTAAAAATATCTCCTAAAAGTTTCTATGTCTTAGTTTATTATTTCTTTTTAAAAAAAACAAATCCATGTATTTATTTATTTGTTTCTGTTTTATTTTAATCTGAGTTATCCACACCCACATAGACAGTGGTCTTTCTCTATGCAGCACTGGCTGGCCTAGAACTTTCTATGGTTACAGGCTGGCCTTAGACTCACATATATTTACTTACCTGCCTCAAGGACTGTTGAGATTGAGGACATGTGCCACTATACCTAGCCAAATCCCTCTGCTTTACTGTCTATAGTTCAGGAACCCTGCTTGTATATTTCATATATGGAATCACATTACAATGCTTCTCTAGTTTTCTGAGGTGGTATGTTTGTCTGTGCACTGTATGTGTGCCTGGTGCCACAGAGGCCAGGAGAGGGCATCAGGTCCCCTGAGACTAAAATTAAGGACAGTTGGGAGGTGCCATCTCTGTGCTGGTAATTGAACCCACGTCCTCTGGAAAGCAACCAATGAGTGTTCTTAACTGCTAAGCCATTTCTCCAGTCTGTTTCTATTTCTCTTGATTTAGTAATGTATCACCATATGAATACAACTAGAGTCCTATGTCAAAGACATGACAGGGGGTGCAGGGTATGTCCTAACATGTTATATTGTCCATTTGCCACAAAGAAAGGAATTTTAATGGAGAAAAGACAAGAAAGGGTTTTAATCAAAATAGACATTTGAAGAAGACATAAATTAAGCATTTCAGGCCATCTGTATAATTATATAAGCTTTAGATTTAAATAGAGGAAGAACTGGGGCAGGTACCAAGGGGCAAGAGGAATGTATAATGAAGTCATGCTATGCTCTGGCTGGTTGATCATTGTCTCAATTCTGGTATTGTAAAATGGCTTCAGACAAATTCTTACCACTTGAAGGGACATTCTATCTCTAGTAATGACTGATCCTATTTAGGGGTAGGGTGTCATTTTTTATCATAGGGTAATTTGTCAGAGAAGTTTTTCTATTTCTGGAATCCAGATGACTGTAGGTTTAGCACAAGGTTTGGCTCTTTCAGGATCCTTTCTGGGATCTAGACATTGGAAAAGTTGTTGGTAGAGTACTTTTTTTGCTTCAGTGTTAAAAGAAGGATGAGGCAAGCTAGGTTTCAGTGATTAACATGCCTGTGTGTAGAGTTAAACAAAATGAAGAAAAAAATGTCAAGCTTTTATCCACTGTTAGTTATCTTTTGTTTTTGAAGAGTATTTATAATTTTTAAACATTTTTTCTTTGGTTTTGTTTTTTAATTTTTTGGTACATCTTTAATTTCAGCACTTGGGAGGCAGAGCAAGCAGACTTCTGTGAGTTTGAGGCCAGTTTAATTTTCATAGTAAGTTCCATGCAGGTTAGCCAGGACTATATCCTGAGACCCTGTCTCAAAAAAAAAAACAAAAAGAAAAAAAAGATATACAAAGTTTAAATGAGAGAAGAGCAAAAAGAGCGTATAGGAAGGGGCAAGTCCATGGTCTCTTCCAGGGGTTCTCAACCTGTGGATGGCAATCCCTGGAGAGTCTACTGACCTTTTCACAGGGTCACCTAAGACCCTTGGAAATATCAGATATTACATTGCAATTCATAACAGCTGCAAAATTACAGTTATGAAGTAGCAATGAAAATAATTTTATTGTTGGGGGGTGTAACTGTATTAAAGAGTTGAAGGCATTAGGAGGATTGAGAACACGGTTCTAGGCAGATGTTAATGCATTCAAGAGGGCTCTTGTACTCGTGTACTTAAAGAGCCTAGATCCCAATATTATTTAAATACCAAATAAATCTCAACATGAGTTTTGGAGAAATGAGATACTCAAACTACAGCATTAGGTAAAAGACGTGTGTCAACTTCATTTTTCCCTTTTGTTTTCTGAGTGTGTGTGTGTGTGTGTGTGTGTGTGTGTGTGTGTGTGTGAAGTATACATGTGTGCATTTGCTTGAGTGT